AGCATGGACACGAGATGAGGCGCAGCGGTTGCTAGACACTCATGGTCTTCCTATCTGTCCTCAAGGACGTCCGTGCCAAGAGCACACTCACCCCCGACGGACGGAGGTCAGACAGACTCAAACTCAGCAACAAGACTGGCAGCGTAGTCTAGACGACAGTGAGCAGCAAAGTTGACAAGCTTAGCAACGAGGGCAGATGCAGCAGCAGACTCAGAGGAAGGGTCAGTGACAGCAGTGGCCAGGAGACGCGTGACAGTAGGACTGGCAGCACGAAGAGAGTCAGACTCCGGGTCAGCAAGGACAGGAAGAGAGGACTTAGCAGGAGACAGTAGAGGGACACGCCGCGGAGCAGTGGAAGGACGCAGAGTCATATAGTGTGTGCCAGGCACAGGTGGAGGACGCTCACGCTGACCACGGCAACCAGTGTGAGCAGCACAAACAGGTGACACAGGACGCGACACAGGCGACACAGGACGAGACTCAGGCTCACAACGCTCTGTAAGATCGCTTGTCGGACCAGTGTAGGGAGAAGGACCAGGAAGTGGCGAGGCAGGTGGGAGCTGGGACTGCGACTGGACAGGCGGAGGACACTCTACGGAGGGAGGAGGACTAGGAGGAGGCGGCTGACCAAGAACCTGCTGAATGAGCGGAACGAAGTACGGCCGCGGCCGTGAAGCGCCCCTTGAAGTAGCAGAGACAGCACCAGAACCTCCAGCCGAACCAGCACCAGCAGCACCTCCAACAGCTCCAGAGCCTCCACCAGCACCGGCAGCACCTCCAGCAGCTCCAGAACCTCCAGCAGCACCAGCAGCACCTCCAGCCGCTCCAGGACCTCCAGCAGTACCAGCAGTACCTCCAGGACCTCCAGTAGCACCAGCAGCACCTCCAGCAACACCAGTGTCAGCAGTACCTCCAGCAGCAGGGCCTCCAGGTGGCGATACCTCAACGCTAGGAGCTCCACTCCTGAGACTGCAGCGCCAAGCGTACCACTCACGCAGCTGCTATGAAGAGGGAGCGCCACCAGGCTCAGCACCCCCAGTCTCAGCACCCCCAGGCTCAGCACCCCTAGGCTCTGCACTCCCGGTCGCAACACCTCCAGGCTCAGCACCCGCACTCTCCGCATCCCCAGGCTCAACACCCCCAGTCTCCGCACCCCCAGGCTCAGCACCCCCAGTCTCAGTGCCCCCAGACCTAGCACCACTAGGCTCAGCACACGCAGTACCTCGCGCAGGACCAGAGTCAACAGCTACCTCGACAGGCTCGACCGGGTCTACTTGGGAAACACCTGAGGGAGCAGCACCCTGGGGAGGGAGGGGGTCTACCGACGGGACACCTGGGGTGAGGAAGAGCGGCGGGGGGGGGAGCGGGGCAGTGCGGTAGGGGAAGAGACGGTAAAAGGGTACCGACTCGTCGAAGGTGAAGTCCTAAGAGGCGAAGACACGGCGCGAGGTGGGGTGGTAAAACCGCTAGCCAGGCGCGTCAGGGACAAAGCCAAGGAAGACACAGGGAACCGCACGGGAGGAGAGCTTGTCCGCGGACGTATCGCGGACAAAGGCGCAGCATCCCCAGACTCGAAACACCGACGCGTCGCCAACCTCCCCCGTCCAACGCAGTGTAGGCGAGGTCTCCGGAACAGAGACACGGGGCCAGAGGTTGAGCTGATGCGCGGCGTACTGCACTGCAAACGACCACAGGAAATGGGGGGCAGCCGCATGGACCATGGAGGTACGAGAGACCTCCATGACAAGACCAATGCGGCGCTCAGCAACCCCATTCTGCTACAGAGAGGTCGGGAGAGTGAACGTCTGGCGGATGCCGTGCTCCGCACATTAGGCTGCCAGGAGGTCAGAGGAAAGCTCGCCACCTCTGTCAGAGTGCAGACGTAGGACAGGAAAGTCCGACTGGAACCGCTGGCGGAGCTGGAGACGAGCAGCGCGGATCCAGGGGATCAAGACATCAGGGACCTCACCCTTGGTACGCAAGGGGAAGACCGTGGTGTAGCGCGTGTAGTCGTCGACGACCAGCAGAAAGTACCGCTCGTGGCCCTGTCCCCGGACGCGGGCGGGGCCCCACACGTCCAGGTGGAGCGTCTGCAGGGGAGCCTCTGTGGGAGGGAACGAGGAGGAGTGAGGAGCGGCGCGCTGCCGCCTCTCGACACAGGGAAGACAGGGAGGAGCAGGCGAGGGTGGTAGGGGAGGGAGAACTCTGGGAAGACCAGAGACAAGGTACCTGGAGTGCATGCCACAAAGGCGCTGCACTGACGGGTGACCAAGGCGGTGGTGCCAGGGGACAGTCCTGTGCGACAGGGAGCGACACGAGCAGGGGGCGGACAGCTGACCTGACGCAGACGCAGACGCAGCTACCCGAGGGGACTCAGTGGTCAGTGTGTACAAGTCCGACCCTGGCTGCCGAGTGAAGGTAGCCAGGTTTTGACCCGTCCTGGCACACGTGCAGTGCGTCACACGCTCGTAGGCCGGGGTGAACTGGTGAACACCCGCGTCCTGGAGCGCGGAACCCGCCACCAAGTTCGTAGAGAACGAGGGCAGGTAGAGGCTCGACAGCGTGCCAGACGGGACAGCAGGACAAGGGAGGGCAGTGGTGGAGGTCGCAAGGACCGGACCTCCGGAGGGGTCAGCCAGGGAGACAGCAACCGGTCTAGGGAGCTGCTCTAGGGCAGTGCGGTCGCGAAAGAAACAGCAGGAAGCACCTGAGTCCAGTGTGAAGGTGTGCAGTGCCTCAGTAGGTGCGGTACCAGCAGACGCAGACGCACTAGCACCTAGGGCAGTAGCCTCACCAGGACCTTGAGCAGCAGACGCACTAGCACCTAGAGCAGTAGCCTCACCGGTCGCAATACCTGGGTCGGGCGGTACACTCAGGTAACAGTCACCCTCAACACTAATAGTCAATGCATACATAGCAGCAAGGATAGCATCATAATCAAGAGCAAAGATATCAATTCCCTTCTTAAGCAGATCAGCCCAGCGGGGCAGCTCAGAGGCGTCAGGGAACTGCTCGCGCCAGGCGTCATCGAGGCGAAAGAAACAGCGCTGCGCCGTGTGAAACCTCCCACAAGTCTGGCCAGTGCGGTCACCTGTGCGGATGACGTACGGGCAGGTACCCCCACCCCCAGACCCCCCACACTGAGAGTACCACTCACAGAGCTGCTGGGGCGAGGGAGCCTCGCCGGGACGGTGCTGCTGCTGCCTCTGGCCACCGCGGAACCCCCCACGCTGCACCGCTCCACCGCGCCCGCCACCCGCTCCACCGCCGCCACCACTGCCATCACCACCCCCACCACCTCCACCACCGCCGCCGCCACCACCCCCTGCGCCGCCACCGACCCCCCCACCACCCGCGCCACTCCCACCTCCGCCATCACCCTCGCTGCCTCCACCCCCTCCACCGCCGCCGCCCCCACCTCCACCTCCTCCACCCCTGCCCCCCTTGCCCCTGCCGCCCTTGCGTCTCCCACTAGGAGCAGACGCGGCCCCGACCCCCTCAGTTCGTAGGAAGTCGACAGCAGCAACAGATGCAATGGAGGGGAGGAGGGGGACTGGGGAGCACCCCTCAAAAAAGGGGGTGCGTGGTTCACCACGAGAGGCACCTACAGCTACAATGCTCTTCTCAACTGCTAGGAGTTCCTTCTCGAGGAGGTCAACAGTGAGGTCAGTGGGGGAGAGGGCGAGAAAGTGGTCCCTGACTGTGCGAAGGGAGTCAGGGAGGCGCGTGACAAGGTGGTACATTGTGAGGTACATCGGGGGGGGGTTCTTGGCGAGGAAATCTGGGGGGAGTGCGGCACGGTAGCGGAGGTCACTGGTACGGAGGTGGGTGATGAGGTCAGCTACAGTGGTAAAGGCGGACAGGTCGGGGAAGAGGTAGGGCAGCGAGAGACGGCCCATAGCAGCAGTGGCAGGGGAGGAGTAGCGCGCGACTACTGCGTCGTACAGCTCCCTAGCGGTCTTATGCTGGCCGAAGTGCTCGCGCTCATCTACCGGCAGGTGGCTGCGAACGGCTAGGCGGGCGTGAGCATCACGAGTCTACCACTGGGAGCAAGCAGTACTGTCAGCAGTAGCGGGAGGTGCGGGAGCAGCGCCTGACGTGTGGTCGTACAGGGAGACATCGTCCTTGGCAGTGATCTGGAGAAACAGGTGGAGGTCATCAAGCCAGACATCGAACTTAATCGGGCAGCCCTCGGCGTCAAAGGTGAGAACAGTGGGACTGGCCATAGTGGCAGTAGCAGGAGTAGCAGTAGTAGTATCAGTAGAAACAGTAGAAGCAGTAGGAGCAGGAAGAGCAGTTGCAGCAGGTAGGGCGGTGCGGCTCGGTCTGGGCGGCGCGGCTCGGTCAGGGCGGCGCGACTCGGGCGATGCGGGTCGGGCAGGTAAGTCGGCGCGACGGCGGGCCTAGGCTGGGTGCGCGGCGGCGCCTAGGGTGCAGCTGCGCACGGGCCGCGGCTGCGTTCTAGCAGCGGCTGTGGGTCACGCGCTGCAGCAGCCGACGCGCGATCGTCGCGGCGCGCAGGCTGCGACCTGCGGGCTGGCGGCTGTGGGTCGCGCGTTGGCCTAGGGGCTAGCAGGGGCCTACGGGCGACGGCTTGCTGGGGCGCGTAAGAGAAATCGGGGCCGCCCTAGGCGGCGGTTTTCTTACGTGCGCTAAAACGGCGGGGCCGCGCTCGGGTTGCTAGCGGGCTGCACACGGGCAGCGTGAGAGGAGAGCGCACGAGGGCGCACTAGGGGAAAGGCGCACGAGGGCGCTAAAAAAAGGGCGCACGAGGGCACCTCTAGCGGAACGGTGGGCCCTTAGGTCTAGAACCTAAGCTCTTAATACCATGTCAGAATCAAGAAGTGAATGAACTACACAACATTTCAGTACAAGTATGAAACCCTAGAGTTGTGTACCCCCTAAAGGCTAACCCACTATAGCCTACACAACAATAACACATATATAGTGTTTGACACATCTCCCTTTTCTGCGATGGCATAGGTAACTCTGCTCCCCACATGTGTGCTCACGCCCCCCCCCCCCCCCCCCCGTGTGCTCTCTCCCTCCCCTCACTTCCCCTCTCCCGCCGCACCCACGTGCCTCCCGCTGGAGTGTCTTTGAGTCACCGCGAGCCCTTCCCCCCCCTTCCCCCCTGCGATCTTCCCCCATTCGTGCGTTCTTTCCACGTGTGTGCCCTCTTCTCCCCGTGTGAGTGCTCTTCTCCCCGTGTGTGTGCTCTTCTCTCCGTGTGTGTGCTCTCCCTCCCGTGTGTGCACTTTCCCCGCGTGTGTGCACTCGCCCATCCTTCCCCCTTCCTTCTCCGCATGCAGGCAGGATGCCAAGGCGGTGGTGGTGTGCTTTTCCCTCTCCCCTGCCACCCCCTCCTCTTCCTCCCTTCTCTTCCCCGCTCCTCTCTAGCAGGATGCCAAGGCGGTGATGGTGGGGTGGAGGCAGGCCCGATGGAGTTCACTCTCCTCCCCCCTCTTCCCCCCGTCTGCTTTCTTCCATCCCCGGGTGTGCTTTTCCCCCTCCCCTTGCCGCCCTCTCCCCGCATGTCTCCAGGACGCCAAGACGGTGCTGGTGGGGTGGAGGCACTCCCGCTGGAGTCCCTTTGACTTGAATCTCCCCACCGCATGTGTGCGCTCTTCCCCCCTGTGTGCCCTCCACTCCCAGGACGCCAAGACGGTGGTGGTGGGGTGGAGGTACTCCCGCTGGAACCCCAGAGTGCGCACGTAACCGCCAACTCTCGTGTGCGCTCTTCCCCACCTCCCTCTACCTCCCTCCACCCCTCTCCAACCTGCTCCAACCCCCTCCACCCACCCCCCTCCCAGGACGCCAAGACGGTGGTGGTGGGGTGGAGGTACTCCCGCTGGAGCACCAGAGTGTGCACGTGGCCGGCCCCTCGTGTCTCCGTTGGGGACGTTCTAGGTCAGTTCCCCCTGGTCTCTTCACTGAGGCTTTGTGCTATGTTGAGAATGCTTTTTAGACGTCTTAAAAACTAGTCTTCGCTGATGCTCTGTGCTATATTAAGATTGTTTTTCTGCTCTCACATGTTTTCTCCTCTCGCGTGTTCTTTCTTTCTCTCAATGCACACTAACTGTCATTGTCTATACACTCTGGTGTGTTATGCATTCAACCAGGTGAGGGATTTGCGAAGTCATGACCGTTTCGTTCGAATGCTCGGAAAAAGGGCAAACAAGGCCTTCTTACCCCCCTGCCCACCCCCCCCCCCCCCCCCCCCCAACTCCCCTCCCCTTACCCCTTCCTAACCACCCACCTCTCCCCCCATCCACGTCCCCTCCATTTCCACACACACACCTTTCCCGCTCTCTCCGAAGCACAACATCGTGGGCGTTGTTTCACAGTGTGTGTTTTGAGTTGACTCAAAGCAAGCTCTTCAGCTCCCCCTCTTGATCTCCCCCAATCCAGTGTTCAAGTGGAACGACTGGGTGCGGTGGCACAACCTGGTGGGCGTGGATGAGATGCGTTACGTGTTTTGCCTTTTTGGGAGTGTTGGCACTGCCAATCCCATAATTGTGTACCATGGGCCATCAAACCACGGCACTGTCAAGGTCACTGAGGATATTGTTGGTAGTTCAGGCAATCCTGGCCTTTTCACAAGCAGCTCTGGCAACGACTGCCTCGCAGGCATGAAGGTTGCCATCATTCCTGAAGCCTAATTTGAGGAGTGTACAGTACGGTAGTTTCCGTTTTGTAATGAATTCATTGGTTACGAGAAAACGTTTTGTCGGGGGTGCCGTGCCGTGTGTTTTGTAAATTTCTAAGAAATTTTCTCGACATTCCTTACCGCGACCCGCAACATCGCGTAAAGCAGCAGCCGTTGTTCGCCCGTTACTGCTAACGGGGCTTCGCTGACTTTGCACGCACTGTTTCACCAAACCATGCACCGCTGGCCCTGCCGTGTCGGCCTACGCTTCGGGACTAGCCCGAACCTCGATGCCAGCCTAGCACTAGCTAGCTCGCACGCACCGCGTTACCGTTTGCATGTTTCGTGTATGAATGTTCGCTCATGCCTTCGCTCATATTTTGTACTCGTTTGACACTCTAGTGCAATCCTCGCTACCTTGTGTCAGAGGTCCACTGGTGATCCCCGATTGATCCTAGGGAAGGGTTACAGGCACGTTGGCCTGGGGGGTTATGGGCGCACTGACCCGCTACTTAACAAGCCCTTTTATCTCAATGGTCTAGTGGTTGGGATTTTGACATGGTATCTGAGCGAAGGTCTCGGGTTCGAATCCCGGTGTGTGCACTTCGGGCATCCCAGTGCGGGGGGGTATCAGAGGTCCACAGGTGATCCCCGATTGATCCTAGGGAAGGGTTACAGGCACGTTGGCCTGGGGGGTTATGGGCGCACTGACCCGCTACTTAACAAGCCCTTTTATCCCAATGGTCTAGTGGTTGGGATTCTGACATGGTTTCAGAGCACATATGTTCCTGGCTTGTGGGCCCTACTACTGCTTCCGCTGCTACTCGATCTGTCGCACGCCCCGTGGCGTGCGACCTGGCGTGCGGCGATTTTCTCTCTGGCGCGCGCCCCGAGGCGCGCGGCCCCGTTCCTTCTAGGCGTGCCACTCCCCGCTACCCCGTCGCGGGGCCCAGAGGAGCCGCGCGCGACCCCTCGCTGCCCCGTTGCGGCCCCATCTCGTAGCGCCGCCCTAGCGGCCGCGTCGCGCCGCCCTCGCGGCCCCGATCCGCCGCCCTAGCGGCCCCGTCACCTACCCCTGCGGCCCCGGCGCCGCCCATCCCGGCCCCGGCTCTGCCCTTCCTGGCCCCGGCGCCACCTCGGCTGGCCCCGTCGCCTACCCCGGCGACCCCGACGCCGCCCTTCCCGACCCGGCCCCGCCTCTGCTGGCCCCGTCGCCTGCCCCTGCGGCCCCGGCTCTGCCATTCCTGGCCACGGCGCCACCTCTGCTGGCCCCGACGCCGCCCTTACCGGCCCCGGCGCCGCCTCTACTGGCCACGTCGCCTACCTCTGCGGCCCCGGCGCCGCCCTTCCCGGCCCCGGCGCCGCCTCTGCTGGCCCCGTCACCTACCCTGCGGCCCCGGCGCCACCTGTGCTGGCCCCGTCGCCGCTCCACCCGGCCCCGCCGCCGTCCCCAAGCGGCCCCGCCGTCACCACCGAGCCGCCGGCGCCGCCGAGCTGCTACCGAGCCGCCCGAGCCACCCGAGCCGCCCGAGCCGCAGCGCCACCTGAGCCGCCCGAGCCGCCGGGTCGCCGAGCCGCCGAGCTGCAGTTGCTGCCGAGCCGCCGTACCGCCGAGCCGCCCGAGCCGCCCGAGCCGCCGAGTCGCCGAGCCACAGATGCCGCCGAGCCGCCCGAGTCGCCCAAGCCGCCGAGCCGCAGTTGCTGCCGAGCCGCCGTGCCGCCGAGCCGCCGTGCCGCCGAGCCGCCCGAGCCGCCCGCACCGCCGAGTCGCCGAGTCGCCGAGCCTGCTCTTCCCACCACTGGTGAGCCCCTGCCCTGCTAGCGCGCTGCCCGCCGCCTGCTTGCCTGCCTGCCTGCCTTTCAGCCTGCCTGGCTGCCTGCCTTACTGCTGCTACTCCTGCTCCTGCTTCTACTGGCGGAGCCAGACGCAGCCCCAGCGACGTCCGCGTGAGTCCCTCACGCCCCAGCAGCTGCGTGAGTGGTACGCTGGTTGGGGTTGTAGGGGTGGCGGCGCTGCTACTGCTACCACTACTACTGCTACTACTACTGGCGCCGGCCAGATGCAGCTCCAGCAACACCCACGCGCGTCTCTCACGCCCCAGCAGCTTCGTGAGTGGTACGCTCAGAGTAGAGGGTCTCTCAGTTCTGTTCGCTGCTCTTACGTGATTCGCACTGGTGCTCGGACTGGTCAGCCTTGTGGGACACCTAGTCACACACAGTCCCGCTGCTTCGCCCGTCTGAGCGACGCCTGGCGTACCAAGTTTGGCGACGAGGCTGAGCTCCCTGACTGGGTGGAGTTGCTTAGGCAGAGGGTAGATATATTTGCTCTTGACTATGATGCTATTCTCACTGCCATGTATGCATTGCCTACTAGTTCTGACCGTGCCGGTCACCTTTGCGAACCGCCTGACCCGGGTATAGAGCCTGCTACTCTAGCTGCTGGTGAGGCTGCTGCACTGGGTGCTGGTGAGTCTCCTGCTCCAGGTACAGGTGCGGCTGCTGCTCTAGGTGCTAGTGAGTCTGCTTCCTCAGGTGCGGGTGAGTCTGCTCTCTCAGGAACCGCGTCAGCTCCGGCCTCTCACACCTTCACTCTTGACTCGGGGGCTTCCCGCTCCTTCTTTCGAGACCGCACCACACTCACGCCGCTTCGTCGGCCAGTTGCAGTCTCTCTGGCAGACCCCTCTGGGGGTCCTGTCCTTGCTCACTTCTCCACTGTCCTCTCGTGTCCGGCGGCCCCCTCTAGCACCCTGTCTGGTCTTTACCTCCCCTCGTTCTCTACGAACTTGGTGAGTGGTGCTGACCTATAGGATGCGGGGGTTCACCACTTAACTCCTGCGAGTCAGCGGGTGACCAACTGCACGGACGCTCGGACAGGCCGACACCTGGCCACGTTTACACGTCGGCCGGGGTCGAGCCTGTACACGCTGACCACTGCGTCTCCTCTAGTCACTGCGTCTGGCCAGGTAGCTGCGTCGGGTCAGGTGTTTGCTGCAGCGTCCAGGTCTGGTCCTGAGTCTGCCCCCTGCTCGTGTCGTCTCCTGTCTCACGAGACTCTCCTCTGCGCCACCGCCTTGGTCACCCCTCCCTGCTTCGTCTCCGAAGCATGGCCTCCCGTGTCCTTGTCTCTGGTCTTCCCCGGTCCCTCCCTCCCCTTCCTCCGGGGCCTGGCCCTACCTGCGTCCCCTGTGTCGAGGGGCGGCAGCGGGCTGCCCCTCACTCATCTCTATTTCCTCCGACAGAGGCCTCACTGTAGACGCTTCACATGGACGTGTGGGGCCCGGCCCGCGTCCGTGGACAGGGTCACGAGCGCTACTTCCTGCTGGTGGTTGATGACTACTCGCGTTACACCACAGTCTTCCCCTTGCGCAGCAAGGGTGATGTCACTGAGGTGTTGATCGACTGGATCCGCGCAGCTCGTCTCCAGCTCAGGCGGAGCTTTGGCTCGGACTTTCCTGTTCTGCGTCTGCACTCTGACAAAGGCGGAGAGTTCTCCTCTGACCTTCTGCGAGCCTACTCTCGTGCACGAGGCATCCGCCAGAACTTCACGCTTCCGAACTCTCCACAGCAAAATGGGATTGCTGAGCGCCGCATTGGCATGGTCATGGACGTCGCCCGTACGTCCATGATGCATGCGGCTGCCCCCCATTTTCTGTGGCCGTTTGCGGTCCGGTACGCGGCGCATCAGATCAACCTTCAGCCCAGGGTCTCCATGCCGGAGACCTCCCCAGATTTGCTGTGGACGGGAAAGGTTGGCGATGCGTCTGCATTCCGTGTCTGGGGATCTCGGGCGTTTGTCCGTGACTTGTCTGCGGACAAGCTGTCCCCTCATGCTGCTCCTTGCGTCTTCCTGGGTTTCCCCCTGACGCGCCAGGGTGGCAGTTCTACCACCCCACCTCTCGCCGTGTTCTGTCCTCCCAGGACGTCACGTTCGACGAGTCGGTCCCCTACTACCGTCTCTTCCCCTACCGCACTCCGTCCCTCCCCCCGCCACTACTCTTCCTTGTGCCAGGTCCCCCCCCCGGTAGACCCCCTCCCCCCTCAGGGTCCTGCCCCTTCAGGTGTGTCCCAGGTAGACGCTGTTGAGCCTGTCGAGGTCGCTGGTGACTCTGGTGCTGCTGAGGGTGCTGCGCCTGGGGGTGCTGACTCTAGGGGTGCTGAGCATGTGGGTGCTACGCCTGGGGGTGCTGAGCTTGGGGGTGCTGAGCCTGGGGGTGCTGAGCCTGGGAGTGCTGAGCCTGGGGGTGCAGAGCCTGGGGGTGCTAAGCCTGGGGGTGCTGAGCCTGGGGGTGCTGAGCCTTGGAGTGCTGAGCCTGGGGGTGCTACGCCTGGAGGTGCTGAGCCTGGAGGTGCTGAGCCAGAGGGAGCTGGGCCTGCTCGTGTGGCGTCTAGCGGTGCTGTGCCTGGCGGTTCTCCGGGTGCTTCGTCTCGCCGGGAGCCACTCTCTCCACAGGAGCTGTATGAGTGGTTTGCCCGGCGCTGGAGGCGAGCTGCTGGAGCTGGAGGTGCTGCGGGTCCTGGAGGTTCTGCTGCTGCTGAGGGTGCTGGTGCCGAGGGTCCTGGAGGTGCTCGTACTGGGATTACTAGAGCTGCTGGGCCTGCGGGTACTTTCTGGAGTTGGAGCTGCTGCGGGTGTTGGCGCGGAGGCTACTGGTGTCGGTCCTGGAGGCGGTCCTGCAGGGGGTGCTACTGGTGCTGCTGGAGGTACTGGAGCTGGAGGTGCTGCTGGTGCTGGTGCTGCCGCTGGGGGTACTGGTGCTGTCCCTACTGTGTCTGAAGTCGCCGCGCGGCCTCGGCCGTACTTCGCTCCGCTCCTTCAGCAGGTTCTTGGTCTCCCGCCTTCTATTGGTCCTTCTCCTCCCTTCGAGTGTCCACAGCCTGTCCCGTCACAATTACAGTTACAACCGGCCTTCCCACTGCCTGCTCCGTCTCCCTACACTGGTCCTACTGGAGGTCTTGCTGAGCGTCGTGAGCCTGCGTCTTGCCCTGCGTCGCCTGTCCGTGCTGCTCGCACTA